TTTGTGAGTACTTCATTTGAAACATAACTGACTAAAGTTGTTAAGCTGCCCCAAACACATGAGTTCCCATTGCGTTACCTCATCATGTATGAATACCATTAAAATAAAACAAAAACCCAAAACGCGGTCAACACTATGAGATTATTACATTAGAAGATATTTGTTTAATTAAAGCAGTTAACTTATACCTGGAGCTATTCCATTATGATGATTCCAAATATTATGATTTTCTCAATAAACAATAAATACATGTAGAAGATATTATAATGGTAGCAGACTACGGTCATATAATTACAAAGCCACTACACTCGTTGTTACCCATCACAATAACGTCGTTACACTCGTTATAAACGCATCACAATAAAATCGTTGCAATCGTTGTAAACCCCTCATATACAATATTTACACTTGTTGTAAACCCATCATATAGTTTTTTTTACACTTGTTGTAAACCCATCACTATAAAGTCGTTACACTCGTTGTAAAGCCATCACTATAAAATCGTTGCAATCGTTGTAAACCCCTCATATACAATATTTACACTTGTTGTAAACCCATCATATAATTTTTTTACACTTGTTGTAAACCCATCACTATAAAGTTATTACACTCGTTGTAAACCCATCACTATAAAGTCGTTACACTCGTTATAAATGCATCACAATAAAGTCGTTACACTTATTGTAAACCCATCACAATAACGTCGTTACACTCGTTATAAACACATCACAATAAAATCGTTGCAATCGTTGTAAACCCATCATATAAAATATTTACACTTGCTGTAAACCCATCACTATAACGTCGTTACACTGTTTGTAAACCCATCATTATAAAGTCGTTACACTCGTTGTGAACCTATCATATAAAATATTTACACTTGCTGTAAACCCATCACTATAAAGTCGTTACACTCGTTGTAAACGCATCACAATAAAGTCGTTACACTTATTGTAAACCCATCATATAAAATATTTACACTTGCTGTAAACCCATCACTATAACGTCGTTAACCCATCATATAAAATATTTACACTTGTTGTTTGCAATCGTTGTAAACCCATCACTATAAAGTCGTTACACTCGTTATAAATGCATCACAATAAAGTCGTTGCAATCGTTGTAAACCCATCATATAAAATATTTACACTTGTTGTAAACCCATCACGATAAAGTCGTTACACTTATTGTAAACCGATCAGAATAACGTCGTTACACTCGTTATAAACACATCACAATAAAGTCGTTGCAATCGTTGTAAACCCATCATATACAATATTTACACTTGTTGTAAACCAATCACTATTACGTCGTTACACTCGTTGTAAACCCATCACTATAAAGTCGTTGCAATCGTTGTAAACCCATCGTATAAAATATTTATACTTGCTGTAAACCCATCACTATAAAGTCGTTACACTCGTTGTAAACCCATCATATAAAATATTTACACTTGTTGTAAGCCGTTCACTATAACGTCGTTACACTCGTTGTAAACCCATCACTATAAAGTCGTTGCAATCGTTGTAAACCCATTTATAAACGCGTCACTATAAAGTCGTTACACTCGTTATGAACGAATCACAATAAAGTCGTAACCCATCACAAAAAAGTCGTTACACTTATTGTAAACCCATCACTAAAAGGTCAATACACTCGTTGTTAACGCATCACAATAAAACCGTTGCACTTATTGTAAACCCATCATATAAAATATTTACACTTGTTGTAAACCGTTCACTATAACGTCGTTACACTCGTTGTAAACCCATCACTATAAAGTCGTTGCAATCGTTGTAAACCCATCAAATAAAATATTTACACTTGTTGTAAACCCATCACTATAACGTCGTTACACTCGTTGTAAACCCATCACAATAAAGTCGTTACACTTATTGTAAACCCATCACTAAAAGGTCAATACACTCGTTGTAAACGCATCACAATAAAGTCGTTACACCTATTGTAAACCCATCACTATAAAGTCGTTACACTCGTTATAAACGCATCACAATAAAGTCGTTACACTTATTGTAATATTGTAAACCCATCACTATAAAGTCGTTACACTCGTTATAAACGCGTCACTATAAAGTCGTTACACTCGTTATGAACGAATCACAATAAAGTCGTTACACTTATTGCAAACCCATCACAATAACGTCGTTGCAATCGTTGTAAACCCCTCATATACAATATTTACGCTTGTTGTAAACCCATCACAATAACGTTGTTACACTCGTTATAAACGCATCCCTATAAAGTCGTTGCAATCGTTGTAAACCCATCATATACAATATTTACACTTGTTGTAAACCCATCACAATAACGTTGTTACACTCGTTATAAACGCATCACTATAAAGTCGTTGCAATCGTTGTAAACCCATCATATATTTTTTTTACACTTGTTATAAACCCATCACTACAAAGTTATTACACTCGTTGTAAACCCATCACTATAAAGTCATTACACTCGTTGTAAACCCATTACAATAAAGTCGTTACATTCGTTGTAAAACCATCATTAAAACGTCGTTACACTCGTTGTAAACCCATCGCTATAACGTCGTAAAACTCGTTGTAAACCCATCATTATTAAGTCGTTACACTCATTGTAAACCCTTCACTATAAAGTCGTTACACTCGATGTTAATCCATCGTTGTGAACCAATCACTACAAAGTCGTTACACTCGTTGTAAACCCATAAGTAAAATGTCGTTATACTCGTCGTTAAACCATCACTATAAAGTCGTTACGCTCGTTGTAAATCCATCACTATAAAGTCGTTACACTCGTTATAAACGCATCACAATAAAGTCGTTACACTCGTTGTAAACGCATCACAATAAAGTCGTTACACTTATTGTAAACCCATCACTATAAAGTCGTTACACTCGTTATAAACGCATCACAATAAAGTCGTTACACTCGTTGTAAACGCATCACAATAAAGTCGTTACACTTATTGTAAACCCATCACTATAAAGTCGTTACACTCGTTATAAACGCATCACAATAAAGTCGTTACACTCGTTGTAAACGCATCACAATAAAGTCGTTACACTTATTGTAAACCCATCACTATAAAGTCGTTACACTCGTTATAAACGCATCACAATAAAGTCGTTACACTTATTGTAAACCCATCACAATAACGTCGTTACACTCGTTATAAACGAATCAAAATAAAGTCGTTGCAATCGTTGTAAACCCCTAATATACAATATTTACACTTGTTGTAAACCCATCACAATAACGTCGTTACACTCGTTATAAACGCATCACTATAAAGTCGTTGCAATCGTTGTAAACCCATCATATATTTTTTTTACACTTGTTATAAACCCATCACTACAAAGTTATTACATTCGTTGTAAAACCATCATTAAAAAGTCGTTACACTCGTTGTAAACCCATCGCTATAATGTCGTAAAACTCGTTGTAAACCCATCATTATTAAGTCGTTACACCCGTTGTGAACCCATAACTATACAGTCGTTACACTCATTGTAAACCCTTCACTATAAAGTCGTTACACTCGATGTTAATCCATCGTTGTGAACCAATCACTACAAAGTCGTTACACTCGTTGTAAACCCATAAGTAAAATGTCGTTATACTCGTCGTTAAACCATCACTATAAAGTCGTTACGCTCGTTGTAAATCCATCACTATTAAGTCGTTACACTCGTTGTAAACCCATCACTATAAAGTCATTACACTAGTTGTAAACCGATTACTATAAAGTCGTTACACCCGTTGTGAACCCATCACTATGCAGTCGTTACACTCGTTGTAAACCCTTCACTATAAAGTCGTTACACTCGTTGTAAAACCATCACTATAAAGTCGTTACACTCGTTGTAAACCGTTCACTATAAAGTCGTTACACTCGTTGTGAACCCATCACTACAAAGTCGTTACACTCGTTGTTAACCCTTCACTATAAAATCGTTACACTCGTTGTAAACCCATCAGTATAATGTCGTTATACTCGTCGTTAAACCATCACTGTAAAGTCGTTACGCTCGTTGTAAATCCATCACTATAAAGTCGTTACACCCGTTGTGAACCCATCACTACAAAGTCGTTACACTCGTTGTAAACCCATAAGTATAATGTCGTTATACTCGTCGTTAAACCATCACTATAAAGTCGTTACGCTCGTTGTAAATCCATCACTATTAAGTCGTTACACTCGTTGTAAACCCATCACTATAAAGTCGTTACACTCGTTGTTAACCCTTCACTATAAAACCTTTTAGAATTGCAGTCGATTCTCTATAGAGAAGATGAAACTACCAAAAGGACTTTGTGTTCTGGCTAAGAGTGTAACTTACCCTGTCAAGTTGTATACCTTTCATTTTTTTTATACATTTCTCATTAGATTTGCTCCCCTTATTTTGATGCTGTTTTTTTCATAATATCTAAACTGTGTATACAATAGTTGGTATCGTTTTGTAGCGATTTTTATGTTGTCGTTGGTTATTAGCGATATTATGTTTTTCCACCTGTAATTTCATATTGACATATCATCGAATTTTGCAATGCTAACAATCCTCATTTTTCTTTGTTAACATAATTTCGAAAATGTCATTGTTCCAGTGGTACGTTACAGATCTAGACAATGACCAATGCATAATGACTTTTTATACCGACAATGTAGAATGGCGAATGACATACTACAAAAGTAGGATTTTTTGCGGTGTGGAAATGCTCCGGTTTTTGAGGCAATTGTTGCAAAAACAGTCAATAATTATTTATAAATTGATTTCAAAACCTTTGTCAACAGGGATATTTTCACACCACGATCAGTTTAAAGGGTCACACCGTAAATATTTCCGCACTCTTAGATGTCCTCTTTTGCACTATAAAGCATCGTTTGAAATATACCATGTATCGGAATTTCAAGCTAAACGATATAACAGAGTGTACTAATATTAGTTAATATCCAAAAAAAAATGTTCTTTTATTTTATATGATATTTTTATTTATAGCTGAACGGCATGTCCAACGATTTTTGGGGCTGGGGTAAAGAAGATGATGATTTATACCAACGGATGCTGAAAGTGGGATTACAAGTAATGATGTCTTTACTTCAGTATCTTCGTTTGTTCTGTCCATAAAGTGCAATACATCTTTTCTTTGTCTGGCTTTCTGTATCAACTTTGTAAATATTAAATACCGTATTTGCCGTAATACGCCCTCCTCCCCCTGGAAGTGTCCCTCTCCCTTTTTCGGGAAGAATTAAAACTATGTTGACTCCCCTCCCAGACCTCATCAGATACTTGCATTTTAAAGCTGAGAGCTATGTCTGGTGATTATGGCCGGACTCATCGTGAAGCAAATTAAAAAGTAATTATTTCAAAGCTCCGGCCACACAGGATTGTTTAAAATGTAATTCGCTGATAGCGACTGGTTGAATTTGCTAATTTCTTTCTGTAATAATTCATATTTTGTTATCCTGATAACCCCCTCTTATTTAAGCCAATGTTTAAGTGCCTTGTGCGCTAATTACGGAAAATACGGCAGGTGCTTCTACTTCATATGCTTTCAAACAATCATCCTTTATAATACAGAGTGATACGTAACTCCTTGGAGTTAAATTTTTGTTTCAGATAATTGCTTAAAATTCGTGAAATTTATTTTTCAAGGTTGTTCTTTAAACGAGCTCATCAACAAATTCGCAAATATAATACAGAGCAAAATAAAACTTAAATTGCGATTGTTTTGGAATGAGCTATAATCTCAACGAATTAATCAATGTGGGTAAATAGAGCTCTCTCAAAAAACATGAGCAATTCGCAATATTCTAAATTACATTTGGTTGACAGAGTCGATATTAAACATAGATTTCTCATTACATGTTATTAAATACACATCAGAATAGCATACATGTAAATCGAAAATGACTTGCCGTAGAAAGGGTCATAGAATTTAGGCATTGCACTAAGTAGAAACTGATTCAAATTAACTCGTTTAGTTTCTATCTAGTGGAGATTTTATTCTTATTTGGTTGCCGTCCTTACTTCCCATTTCTAGTGATAATTCAAGTATCTTATAATGAAATATAGTGATGATTACAATGCGTTATATAGAAAAAAAGGTTAAGTTATATATTTCGATTTTTCTGCTACGTTACTTGACCTTTAACCATTCGAACTACTTAGTTACTACATTTTCGTACACATGCATTAAAATTGTAATTCATTATCATTTCCAAACAGAGAGAAAATTGTTATAAGTACACCATGAACCATTCAAATCTTTCAAGCATTAAATATATTTCATAATAATATAAAATCAATTGATATTATTGTTGACCACAGTTTGTAATAGCTAATATCACTGGGAGACACAGCAAGCTTAGAAAATCAATTTTATGACCTAGTTCTTAACTTTAGCATCTAGTTTTTGAAAAACAATCTAGTTCGATTTTAGCGTCTAATTTTACAGAACACAATCTAAATTATGTATCAAATTATAATTATATTCCCTCTTATTATAAGCATAAATTATATCATTGTCTTTTGGAATACAAACAACTTTCCTTATTCTAAGCAGGTTAGTCAGCCAGTTGCATCGAATTGGAGCAATTTTCGATATATACATAACGTGGAGAAACGGTCGAGAGACAAAGCAACCTATTTCAACCAAAATAGAGTAAGTACATTTGCGTAATATTTTCGTACTCTATTGTTACTTAAAAGAAAACATACCGGTGCAATATGAATTTCCATTTAAATCAACAAAGACAAACGGAAAATTACAATAAGAAACTTAATTTTCCAATACTTATGATGCGAATTTTAATTGGTGTATACAAAGTTCACAATGTGCCTATTTATAGCCTACATGTTTTAAAAATATCTTTTGCGTTTTCAATGCAAATAAGATAAGAGTTTATGTAAGAGTGAGGAATTTTACGGTACACAATGAACTATAAAGAGAGGATTAGAGGGGCAAATCATGATGTTGTTTTCAAATATGAAAATGCAATCCTTTATCTGACTATATGACACATGGATGTAAACTAAGAGAAATAAACATTTTTCATTCCAGTTCAGGTCAATTTTTAACATGCGGTCTGGATTAAACAGCACAAAGTATACCCTACAGAGTCGGAACACAAGCGTTGTGAATGGAACGACTGTACATTTTATAAATGTCATTTTACATTGTGACTTACAAAAAACTCGTTTTTGTCTTAAGGGAAAGTAACTTTTAATATCAAAATAACAAAGCATGTGAATGTTTATAATATTGATGTGAAAAGGTGGTGCTAGGCAAACAACGATAGGTCTGAGCATAACGTGGCCGAAAGAATATTGTAGATTTTTCTGATCTCAAGGATCCCCGTATCACTGCCAAAAACCGTGACTAAGTGATGGAAACTGTTGGTTTCCGGCAGGGTTATAGCTTTGATAAATTATTCATGAAAAAAAAGCGGCACTTAACTGAGAAATTAATAATGAAGGCGACTTACACAAACTTAGGACGGTCTGTTCTTTTTGCAATTTATTTTAATATATGACATTTGGCATAACTCGTTAAAAGGTTTAATTAATTGGGGGCTTGTTAATTTTGCTGTGATTCTTGTTCTTATTATTAATAGGTACTTCAAACAGATGAGGGGACTTATGGCATTTGCAACATTTCTTCTTTTAGGTTTCATTTTTATACAACATTTTATCTTGTGTGCTACAAAAATGAATAAAGGGATTTCATGTTTTAAATTTGAAGTACAGTACAGAAGACAAACTGTCTCATTCCTTTGTTGTTGATTTTGTTATACTGGCATCAACTTATAAAGTGCAATGCAATTCACTTGCATTTTACCATTATATGTTGTCAGGTTAGGTCATAATAGGACAGAGGTATTTGAAGCATCATAAAACGTTTCTGTTTTGCACTTGTACGCTTTGATGTCTGTCTAATTATTTAACTTGGCATTCCAGTGGTCATCCAAAAATAGGATCGCATTATCTGGAGTTTGTCTTTTCTTAGTTTTTTGTTAACATATCAAACGGGAACACAGGGTTTGTAAATTACACCTTGATGTTTAAAAAAATCATGGCAAAATATTCACATTCAAATATTGCAAATAAATCTCCAGAGTTAGGACTCAACCACGAGGTAAATTTTTGTACCATTATTGTGTATGTCTCTTTAAGTCAAGCAATCACATACACATGAATGGTTGCTAGGGTTGCAGCGATAAATTAAAATGACGATCAGATACAATACGTATCACGATACTGAGGTCACGATACAATACGTATCCCGATACAGAGGTCACGATACAATACGTATCACGATACTGAGGGCACGATACAATACGTATCACGATACTGAGGTCACGATACAATACGTATCACGATACGGAGGTCAGGATACAATACGTATCACGATACTGAGGTCACGATACAATACGTACCACGACACTGAGGTCACGATCCAATACGTATCACGATACAGAGGGCACGATACAATACGTATCACGACACTGAGGGCACGATACAATACGTATCACGAGACAGAGGTCACGATACAATACGTATCACGATACTGAGGTCACGATACAATACGTATCACGATACATACAGGTATAGAAACAGTTGAAGCAAAGAGAAAGGTATGCTGTAATTTTAATGGCAATAAAACAACTTGAAATAGAGTTGGTCCAAAATGAGCATGACTTCAAAGTTTCACACAATTTACGTCTTCTGTCACACACCATATTGGAATTGATATGAGTAAAATAAATTTAGAAGCGACAAAATCTGGAAAATATCATAGGTGTATCGTGACTTCGCAAAACAAATTGTGTATCGTACCGTATTCAAAATATCGCTATATATATATCGTGGCAGCCCTTATCGTTACAGGGCTGACATCCTTACTGTTTTCATATTTTGACTTCAAATGTAGAGGGGTAGAACTGAACCCTGGTACCATTTGTAGCAATACATCAATCTCCTTTTCAGGTCCAGCAGTTATAGCTATAGTTATAGGGTAGGTACTGCTACTGTTACCATGTAATGACCAAGGGACTAAATTGCAGGAGACTGGCGGGATTAACAGGCATCAGTAAGATTGGTAGCGTGAGTGTGTTTGTCCCTTTTACGTCAAGGCAGCACATAAAGCAGTTCTGGATTGATCGTAGACAATCACCGAACGGCAAACCTTTACAACCACTTCTTTTGAACTTCGGGATGCAACGAAGCTTGCGTATATGACAAAAAGAGTTTCGTCCAGAATATCAAATAGATGGTTGCAAGAGTTACCGTTTGGTTATGAATCCGGAATGGCTGTATATAGGCCCAGGGTCGAGATCTCAACCATTTCCATGTTAAAACTCAGAAATTGATTTCCCGATAGTCAGGACCAGTCGCTTTTCAATTTAATATATTTTTTTAATAATCACCACTTTAGGATAAGAATATTTCCATCAAAATATCATTAATATCCGTTACACAGTTCTAGAGAGGAAGTTGTTAAAACCGATGTATCCTGCTAGCATGAAATGCACGACGAAGAAAGGAACAGGGTAAAAGGAATAGAATACAAACAACAGAACATCAAGTATGAAATGTAGATCGTTTTCATAATTAGACACAAAAGAAACATATTTACAAAATACATATGTACATCAATATAAAGTTTCAATATAAATCTATCAAATCAGACATATGAGGACGTGCAATGGTCAGGAACAGTTCATAGGTTAAGATTTTTATGAAAAAAGGAATCTAATTGTCATTACAAGATACATATTACGCGTATTAGAAAATACTGTAAGCGTACATTTTTTTAGCTTTATTTTTATTAAGTATTTTTTGCATTTAAAATATTGTGCTAAATTATAAATGTACTAATTGAATTTTCAGTATATTGTTTTTGTATGGCATATTTTGTGGATGCGCTAATTCAGAATTGCGTAAATCTGATTATATTCGATAATGCGCTAAAATTTGAGTCCGCTAAAATAAGTACGTTTACAGTATGTTGAACATTTAAGTGTTATTTTGTTTCAGAGCTCATCTTGGGTGTTTTAATAGCAAGTCTAATTCACACTGTTACACGGTAATGTCACATAGTATACATCGACTTGTTTCACTCCTGTTCACTACAGCTTATAACTACTGCTTTCTCTCTTACTCCTAACACTACAGAGCCTGTCAGGGCCGTTTTATCCTTTACTTTCTTGAGACTAAAGAGCTTACAAGTGACTGTTTCTACTTCATATAAAGATAGAGAGATAATTGAGGTAATTTTCCCATTTTTTCCGTATGTAAGGCAGCCTTCATTTCTTCTGGTTTTCTGAAGTTCAGAATGCATTTATTTTGATTGGTGAGTTAACGGAAAGCCGGTTAATATTGATAGATAATATCTTCCACAATTGGTTTTTGTGGGGCTTAGTAAGTGTTTCCATATTTGAAGTGAGATCAGTACCCTATTTGTATATATATAAACACATGTATCGGCATTGTGTAACGAACATCTCACAGAAAACCTACATTGTTTCATGTACGATCGTGGTATACACTTTAAATCACAATGACCTGTTTATATTACAAACATCTCAAATATTACTTTTAGGAGCATTTAGTACCTTACTGGATCTTAAAAATTTAGGGATTCTGAAAATCAACGCGCGCTATTTTACTTTGTCTTCAAATCAATTAAAATCAAAAGCTTCTTCATCAAAACCATAAACAACAATTCACTTCAAGCTGACACCCTTCTAACCCGAACTGCCTCCGTTTTTAAAGTATGTTTATCGTTTTCTGATGAACTAGAGGCATTTTTGGTATCTGATTCAGTTTCTTTATCCTTCGCTGTATCATAAACATGAATTGAAAGTTCTGTTCTCCCTTCTGTAGCCGGACTTACGTCACTATGGACGTCACTTCCGGTGTGATCTATTGATTTGTTCAATGATATATCACCACATGTGTCCGCTGCAGAAGAATCACTTTTGCGTGCGGACGCGCTATCATCATCATTCTCCACCTTTTCGTTGTTGTTATTTGAATTACAATCGGATGTGCTATCTAAGGCCAGTGACTGTTCAATGCCGCTTACACAAGAAGCAAAACCGTTAGCGCCAATGCTTTTGACTCCGAGATCCAACAGATTTTTCAGCGCCAGGAGAGTCTCGGAAGTCCTGTTTGAAATTTCTTCTAGATGAGACATTCGTTGGTTAGCAGTTTGTAGGGTCAACTTCATGCATTGTCCTTTCTGTGTTATACCGTCCATTCCGAGGTTTAGCATCTCTGTCCTACAAATACATACCAATAGGGATTATCATGTTAATATTTACAATGTTGTTTTATTGTGAATTGCAATTCTAAATTGACCTGTTGCTTAACTGTAAAAGTACTTACTTTAGCAGACTCAAATTGTAGTGTATAATGTTATTTTAAAAGGTAAGCGCTATGACTTATACTTCTATACAGTAGGAAGATACATGTAGCAGAGTCATGCAGTCGCAATGTCCAAATTGCAAAAGCGCTAAAATTACAATTCCGCTGAAATGTTTACTTTTACAGTAAATTGAATAAGTTTGAAAATATAAGGATATCTACGTACATTTACCTACGATTTTTTTTTTATAAATTACATTGTATATAAACCTAGGACTTTGTAAATATTTCATGGTTTATTGGTCATGATATATGCTCATTATAATGAAAGTGATACGTTTACAGTATATTAAATATATTTGAAAACATAATAATACCTATGAACATCCACCTATACATTTTAGAACTTCATCGACGATAGGTTTTAGGTTTTATTATTCTTTTAAGTTTGCTTTTGTTCAATAAAACAAATAAATCCCAAGATAGATTGGTTAAAATTTAAATACCTTTCATTTATAACGCGTACTCTTTCCTCTTGTGATGAACGGAAGTTCATGTCTGTTTGCCGGAAGTAATCTTCAACGGCTTCTGATTCAAACTCATGGAGGTGTTTTGCGTCCTTACGAGAGAGGAACAATTCTGTCGAAGAAAGGAAATACTATGAAGCAATGGGGAAAAACAATGCAGAGTCGTAAGAAATAGTGCTGATATTCTATGTAATGTCTGGACATGTTATTGACTTTTTCTTTTACACCAGTTTTACATTAAATTTTGATCGGGATCACGATAACTACAACAATCAGCGACTTTATTTATAATATAAACTTTATTTATTTTACAACAATTATGAAACAAGTTGTTTCAACTTATAGAGATCATTCTTGTTGGCCCGGATGTTGACGCGCGAGGGGTCAAAGTGTGGGAGGAAACCGGAGTACCCGTAAAAAACCCACGTCGTCGGGTAGGTGACCCAATACTTTTCACGTCCGATCGGGGAATCGAACACTGGCCGCCTTGGAGAAAGGCAAGTGCGCTATCTACTGCACCACCCGACCACCTAATAGATATTTGATTGCTGTTTTCTGGTAAAAAAAATGCAAAGACGAACATTTTTAATATAAAATGCAATCATCCATCAGCTGATAAAAAGTTAATCGCTCCAAAATTCTTTGTATGTATATTATCTTGAGAAAAGACATATTTTACTTGAGAATCCATCTTCTAATATAAATGCACTTACTCAAACCGTTTTCAAATTTGGCGTTTGTCCCCTTGCAACGACGGATAAGAAACCTGACGCTGAGGAAGATATGGCTGAAGAGCACCAGTGGAGCTGGTAAGATCGGGCACATTTTGTATCTCACGACGCGCATATACAGCTGAAACTTCCATATCTCTTTAACGTAGGAGTTATTGGCGATGAATGTAGCACTGCAACAGAAAATGTAAAATCCTTAGTAACTATAAGCGTTGGGTTTGTTTGCACTTTACGTCCTTTTAAAAAATTGGGCAATTGAAGGAAGAGCAAGGGATTGGAGGAAAACCGGAGTACCCGCAGTAAAACCACCGACTTGCGGAATCACCTAGGGGCTTCCCCAAGTATGCATTAAACCGGCGACCCAGTAGTGGAGGACTATTGATCGTAAACAGTCGGACCCCTTAACCGCTTGGCCGCCATGGCCCTCCAATAAACGTATAGAGTGACATCTTAAGTCATCATCTACGTAATGTGTAACACCCTACGTATCATAAATGCTATGTGTGAAATATAAGGTAACCGTAAGTGCTAATTATAAACTTTTAGGTTATCATACATGTATGTGCTTTTTTATTTGTTCGTTTATGAGGAATATGGAGAAAAATAATCATTCCCCTGAAAAGGGAAAAACCCTCGGAGAAGATTCCTGATTGCTACATGTAATAGCCTCGGGTTCGGCAGTTTAAAATCTCTTTCTCGACAAACATTTCTCTGAGCTACACTCGAGTAGGGGAATATCCTTTATCCCTATACGTACTGTTCTTATGCAAATCAAATAAGTTCTCTTTGGTGTATATCAGAAACACATTTATTCATTTTCTATAAATTGATGATATTGAAAATACACCTATATGACTACAAAGTGCTACTATTCCATACGCAACAACTCATCTTGCATAAGTACAAACACAAAACTGTTGTTCTTAAAAGAAACATGCTAAATCTATTATGCAGCTACCACTTGATGTGTGCTTCAGTTTATGAGTGTGAGTTCGTGCGTGGGTGAGGAAGGGTGCGTTTGTGTGTGTGTGAGGATGTGTGCGTGCGTTTGTGAGGTGTGTGTGCTTAAGTGTGTGAGGGTGAGTGCGTGCGTGTGTGAGGAAGTGTGCGTGCGTGTGTGAGGAAGTGTGCGTGCTCGTGTGTGTGATGATGTGTGCGTGCGTAAGCCTGATGATGGGTGTGTGTGCGAGTGTGCGTGTATGTGCAAGGAAGTATGCGCGCGTTTGTGATGATGATGTGTGTGTGTGTGTGAGAGAGAGAGAGAGAGAGAGAGAGAGAGAGAGAGAGAGAGAGGGTTTTGTGTGTGTGTGTCTACTGTTATTATAAATATATATATAAATATTGCTGCCTTCGGCTGTCTTTAGCCGAGGGGACTATTGGTTATAGTAAATCAGTTCTATCTTCTTGTAATATTATGTATATGTACATGTAACTGTTCTGTTTCACTGTGTCTTGATAAAGGAGCGGATCGCTCCGAAAATTTGACAACCTAAACTTGTCCACACTGTTGGAATTACTTTTTTGCCCTATATACTAGTTTAAGTAATTCGTATCCTACGGACATACCTCCATTAGGATGTTATATGGGATTTTACCGTCTATATTACTTCTTTGACCCATATATATATAAATATCTTGTGTTTCAATGTTTACATTATATGTTTATGTACAATTTAACTCCATATTTGGGGAAATAAAGATTGATGATGCTACTATTCCATACGCAACAACTCATCTTGCATAAGTACAAACACAAAACAGTTGTTCTTAAAAGAAACATGCTTAATCTATTATGCAGCTACCACTGGAAATCAAAGAATTTATGTAACAACGGATGGTGTTTTTTTCGGGCAACCACGAAATTTAGGCCCCAACGAAAATATCTGATTTTACAGTAGTTTCACATTTGCATATCTACAATCAGTACTGGGTTGCCGGTAATTGATTTATGACATATGTTAGGGGTACGAACACGCATTTTCATTGAAACAGTCATTTCACAAAACAATGACACAATGATTAACTAATCACTTAGTATTCTTAATTATGTATTTTTTTCGGGTCATTGGTAATCAATCAGGAAACAATGGAACCATTCGTATTGTGACCTACTTACTTGAAACGGGCGATGAGCATGTTTACGAGTAAAACGTAGATTAGCAGAAGATAGACACACATGAAAGCCGGGCCAACCCAGGACCCGTATGTGCAGCCGTCAGGATGATTGTTCTCGTCATAACACGCTTTGAGAAAATAAAAAATAATAATAATCAAAATGTGCATAAAATATAAACAAGGAACTGAAATGTTGATACTTAAACAATACCCATTGAGACAAATAACCCCCTGTAAATACAAACAATAATAATGATTGTAACTTGTTACATTTAACTCAATCTTTGAACATTGACCGAACTGATTCGAAGATTATCACCGAACCACATTACAAACCGTGTTTATGCTTGTTTTGTTATTCTAAGCGGAGAAGTTGGGATACAAATACACTCATTTAACTAATCATGAAAAATTACTACCCAATATAGGAATCAGCGCTTTAAATACTCCATGATTTATATACGTTTGAAGAGTGGTAATGATAGTGCAAAAAAAATAAACCGATATATATGCAAAGAAGTACTATTGACATAATTGATTATTGATTTGGCAAATTTTCGATACATCTGCTCTGTTTTCAAGATAAAGAAAAACAAAAAACAAATTTCAAATAGCAATAATCATATAATAATAATATACAACATTTGATATAGCGCCCCATCTAGCTAACATAAGCCATTCTAAAGCGCTTTATAGTACATAGATATATAATTCATACTATTAGCATATCCGTTAATCAATACAATTTTGAGGAATTCGCAGGAGCTGCCTTATCAGGCACTTACTACTAGTCCTATGCCACCTAGCTTATATCTCCCTATGAGTGTATGTCTGCGTGTGTGCTGGAGATGTAATGTGTTCTGTTTGTAGTGTATAGTATTGAATGCTACAGCACAGATACCGCAACATCCACCACAGACCAATTTATATTCCACCTGGGTTGTTGGAGTTGTGAACTTGGCGACCAGTGAAGTCGCAGGGATCGAGCTCCAGGATATTTTCAGTGTATTTGGGACTTTTCGGTACCTGTATTTTGTCATAATTGTTGATATGTCTGTGGTCACCACTGCGGTGAAGACAAATGTCACCGAAGAAGAAAAACAAAGGTGAAAATGGAAAGGCAAGTGTTAAGAATGCGAACAATGTGGTTTCACAACAGGTAGCCCCAGAACTCCAATTACGTTGGTAATTATCAAGTGTCCCCACAAACACCCGGGCCCCCACCCATGTTTGTCCCCTACCAATATGGCGACCATTCCAGTTAGTGACAGTACCTCTCCATGGGCTAAAACGCTCATTTCCAAAGTGAACGCTCTTACTGGGAAAATGGCCAAGCTTGACACACTAGGTTTTCAGAGATTTACATGAAGATGTGAAAGGTCTGAAGGGCCGCGTAGACAAAATGGTGGCCTCTCAAGTATGTATAATCGTGATGATTGTGGACATTACTTGGCAGAAGAAGAAGAAGCAGAAGAACAGTTTGAGTATAATCGGAAAAACGGAGGAGATCTCAAGTCGCTCCAGGAAAGTTTGGCACGGGTAAACGATGAAATAACTGACATCAAATGCGAAGCCCTCAGGGATAATTTGGTTTTTTTTCGGCTGTAAGGAGGATGACACTGATGATACAAACAACCCCGAAAATTGTGTCACAACAATTGAAGAAATAGTGCGGGAAAAGTTAGAAACAACGGATAACCTGAAACTTAGAAAGGCTGTCCGACAAGGTGTGAAAAAAGTACGGTCAACCAGACCAACAAAAATATTGAGGTGAAAAAAAACCGCCAAAAAACTAAGGGGGACTGACGTATTTATATCAGACCAGTTCCCTAAGGACGTCCAAGAATCACGAAAATGCTATGGCCGATATGTAAAGAGGTACGTGACAAGAACAAGAAGGGATATATAGTGAAGGACAAACTGTTCATTCCATCTTTGCGTATTGCAGAGTTATCTTCTCTTGAGAGCAGGTATTTATTGTTACGTCATTGGTTTGTGTGAAAAAATTACGTTGTTTCTCAAAAATTGATGACGTTACTCTCGAAAACAAATGACGTAACAATCAATACCTGCTCCCAAGAGAAGATAACTCTGCAATACGCAAAGACGGAATACCAGAAATACAACTAACAACTGCCCTAACAACAGAAACGCTATTGGCGCCAAGGCTCGGCAACCTTCTGGAGCCCGAGGGGAGACCCAGGTAGGACAATGTGGAGGATTAGAGCAGTGACTCACTCACTGGAACTTTAACCTTTTTGTCTTGGAACGTTAATGGAGGTATTGATAAAAAAACTTAAAGAAAAAAACTTTCTCAACTTTATTAAAACATATGATGTTATATTTTTGTCCGAGTGCTGGACACCAAACGATTCTCAGGTAGATATTGATGGTTTTTCAACAATTGTGATACCTAGAACTCTCACTAAAAATACTCAAGGGGGTGGAATGCTAGTCTTAATTGACCCGAAAGTGAAACCCCATATCACCATGTGTGAAATCATTTACGACTCTATAATTTGGTTAAAGATCGATAAAAAATATTTTATGTAGTGATAATGATGTATATGTGGCATGTGTGTATTTTTCCACCCGATAATTCTGTGTATTATAATACGTATAATTGTGACTTATTTTCAGAACTGATATCTAGCATAAACAGGTACTCCTGTGTCGGGGAAATCATGTCGATGGGAGATTTTGATAGTTGAAATGGTTCGTTGCTAGATTTTATACCTGATGATATTATTCACGATAATATTGAGAAACAACTCTCTATTTTTTTTTTATTTACGTTGAAGATGAGATATGTTCTGACAGAGTAAATCCCGATAAATGTGTCAATCATTTCGGAAATCGATTACTTGAATTTTGCAAGTCATCTGGGCTACGTATTGTTAATGGGCGACACGTAAATTGTTTTTTCTAACGACTTTACGTATGGTGGGCATAATGGGATGAGTGTAATTGATTATTTACTCATGGCACCTGTCTTATTTTTCTCTGGAAAACAATTGATTACTGGTACTTTCACGATGTGGTCTGACCACGCCCCCTTGCACGTGCAGCTGCGTACTCGACGCTCATTGGTCGGGAGTAATTCTATACAGGTTGAATCGCCTGAGGGCATAGGTGTTCAGAGGCCAGCATACAGGTGGGCTAAAGAATCTAACAATACATTTTGGAATCACTTCATATTAACAACGTTGTTTTATAATTATAAAAAAGCGCTCAGCTTATTTAATAGTTGTAAGTCACAACAAAACCATAATAATCTGAATGTTAATAAACGATTGTACAAATATGAGGAAAGTAAGAGGAAACGGGAGTACATGAAATGTGAGGGAGATATGTTCGAATACCTTAGAATGTATAATCCAAAAAGATTCTACAAAAAAATGCTTCTGCTAAATCAGCTAGTCCGCAGTTTCTATGGCCACTATATATGACCATTTTAAAAACTTATCTAATGACAGTAATATAGACAATAATGACAACTGGTTTAAATTACTTGATTCAAAAATTGTATTGTAAAAAGTGCATATAACAGTAATACTTGCACATGCTTTAACTGGGTAAACCAAGTCAAGCAGTTACTTTTCGAACTAGGTTTCGGCGACATATGGTTGAGGCAATCGACAATTAAATACAAAAATGTCTTAAAGCTGATAGGTCAAAGGATATTCGACCATGTACTGCAAGACTTGAGGGGTCTGTTAGAGTCGTCGTCTAAGTGCCTTTTACATAAGCATATTGTAAATCATTTTTCGATTCAATATTATTTAAGCAAACATACTCCAACCACTTGGAATCACATATATACGTCGTTACTGTATAATTACTAAATATACTTCTATCTATATGTATATATGTATTATGGGTCAAAGAAGTAATATAGACGGTAAAATCCCATATAACACTGGATCCTAATGGAGGTATGTCCGTAGGATACGAATTACTTAAAATAGTATATGGGGGCAAAGAAGTAATTCCAACAACCTAAACTTGTCCACACTGTTGGAATTACTTCTTTGCCCCATACATATGTATTATTATATACGGCATTTACGTCAATATGAATCTGAAGTAAAAAAATATATATGTATATGAATTTACCTTATTCAGTCCATTAAATATGTTGATTTGAGTGGTATTCCGTCTTTGCGTATTGCAGAGTTATCTTCTCTTGAGAGCAGGGATTGATTGTTACGTCACTTGTTTGTGAGAGTAACGTCATCAATTTTTGAGAAAACGACGTAATTTTCGCACAAACCAATGACGTAACAATCAATACCTGTTCCCAAGAGAAGATAACTCTGCAATACGCAAAGACGGAATACATATCCAGGGGAACTTTGTCGGTAGGGATTGCCCCAATCACTTGGAATCTCTGGGTAGCAATAAGTCTGTGTCTGGAATACTCATCTCCACTATTTAGATTTAATTGTTCAAATATGTTGTAAAGGTATAGCTACCTCATCCTCCTTACCTATGTATGTCATGTGATTGATGATAACTGTATTATGTATGTGAACGTATGGGCCGTAAGGCCTAAAGTAATAAAACAATTTGAATTTGAATGTCTCGTGTGTGCTGGAGATGTAATGCGTTCTGTTTGTAGGGTATAGTGCCACCTCACTTGATCCACCACAGACCCATGTATATTCCACCTAGGTTGTTGGAGTTGTGTGGGCAGGAGAAAAACACTTTCTCTGAATATCCATGCGTACGACGACTTCGGGGATCAAATCCCGGCCGCGTGGAAGGCCGGAGTGTTGACCACTCGACCAATCCGCCCATATAACTACATTCTAACTCTAATATCTCGAAAGTACATTTCTTCTGGTATATATATGATGGTAATAGCATAAGTAACTCTAACAGTGCAGACAAGACGATGTTTTCAAATTTTTGGAGCAATCCGCTCCTTTATCGAGACACAGAAAAAAACACCAAACAATTACCATACATAAAAAACAAAAACAAAAAGACATACAATAGGATAAAGCTAATATTTAAAAACAATAAGCCCTTCGGCTAGCGTAGGCCGAAGGCAGAATTTATCATGACCGTATCGTTTGCATGGTATATATAAGGAACTAGAAATAAAATATTCATAAAGAAAAGAAAATGTCAACTGATTGTAGTATACATAACTTACTGTCGATTTCGTGAGCAAACAATTCTCCGTAGATCATCCAGTAGGGATAAAAGAAGACGTTCCTTACGATTTTCCAGGATGGCTCTTCGTGTTGGAAATGGATCGACTGCCTGACGATTCCAAACGTGATCACAACTATCACCATGATGGTGGTAAAGTAGCACATGTCAATGAACTGAAAATAAAAACAAAAACACGCACTTGGTTTCAAAACAATAAATTTAACAGTGACCAAATATAGAAAAAAAGGTACCTGGTGTTCGAGTTGAAATAAGAAAAGAAAACGATGTTGAAAAAGATACTTAATTTGATTTATAGGGGGTAAATCGTCTCGTTTAAATTAAGTTTTATTGAAATTATGAAATATATTCTTCTATCCAGTTCGTATATATATATATATATATTTTATTGGCGTAAGAGGTTGAAATGAGATAATTTCTAATCAATTCTGTTTGCAAAAAAATAGAGTAAATATTTTGGTCTAAAGCATAAGAAAGGGGCTTTTATAACAATTACGGCAAATTTATACAAAGCTATCAATCATGTGATCAATAGTCTGTATCTTCGTCCAGTGACGGATCCCTGTCGTACTTCAACACTAGAACATTTCACTGTATTTTGTGTATGTACAGTTACCTCCCCTTAATTACGTTTTTCATGTGATGCTATTTATTAACCAGGTAGCTAAATTTGCTAATGCGACGGCATATGATTGGAGGTCAAGGGTTAAAATGTTGGTCCGGCCTCATTGCAATTTTTCTCTTAAATCATTTTTTGTTTATTTCGTCTCTTTTTTATGAAAGGTCTGTAAGATATGGTTTACTTTTAAGAAAAGAGTTAAAAAAGCTATAGTTGTACCAGAATTTTTTTCCAAAATTCATAATTATAATTTTTACAGTGGTACAGGCATCCTTAACTGATGATAGTGCAATAATGCTTGAATCGAACCCTTGTCTCGTCAGCCAACCTACCAGCTTTGCCATTATCTTGATGTACGGTCCAAGATATTTATTGACCGATATTATCTGCAGGATCCTGGGGTACCAGAACACAATGTTGATTGTGTACAAGATACGGGCGTCTCGTAAAGTACTCGGTATGAAACGTAGAGTGACCGCTAACGCAAAGTTCGTCAGCATCATGGTATCCCAAATGTTCCATTTCTGACTGAAGTACAGGTTCAGTTTCTTGGTTACGCTGACGGGTTCTGATGCAATGATCTGAAAACCGGAAACGAACAACACATATTAGGTACTATATTTTACGTCCTATTTATAGCTATGGTCATTTCAGGACGTGCCATGTTGTGGTGTTGGAGGAAAGCCGGAGTTCCCGGAGAAAAACCACCGACCTACGGAAAGTATCTGGCGACTGCCCCTTGTAGGTATCGAACCCGCAACCCGGCGTCGGAGGGCTAGTGGTAGCAGACGCCTTAACCACTTGGTCACCGCGGCCCCTCTATATACATGTAGATTGTTGGTTTTTTTCTCCTATCAAGTAACATTACTGAATTAAAACTCGCATAACTGCAAACTCAAGGCTATGCAAAGTTGTTTAAATACAGTATAAAAATCATGTCAGTTGGTTAGTGTTAAAAAGCATTGGAAATCGCGACGGTGATTTTACAAGTAAGTTTAAAATTAAGACATCAATTCCTTTTTGTAAATGTATCCTTATTTTTCTTTTGTAATAGTTTGTATATCATGCTTACAGTTTATTCTTTCATGTTGAATATAAACTGAACTTGCTTGAAAAAAATTGTAACTGTTGAAAACAGTAATCATGTTCTTGCTCAAGATTCAACATTTTTCAAATATTTAAAATAGAAGTAAAACCAATTTGGATTTTCACCTTTTTTACCACTAGCATCGCTTACTAAGGACTCCGGCTCATGAGCCCGTGTATTTATATATCAATTCTAAACTCAATTGATTGAATACAGTCGCCAATACATTTATATAGGATTTTACCCGAGTTTCCATTTCATATGAGATTTATGAAACGAGTCTTAGAATTTTTCAATTTAGCGAGCCTCAATGAAATGAAAACGAATGTAAGATCCTTTTTATCATATAATCAAGATCTGTCGCATTTATTCGTGTAAGACGACACTTTTCATGTAGCATTGAAATGTAAAAAGACGCCATTTTTGACTCCAGGACGTAAGTCTGTGACGTCATGTACTTGTCCTAGGCGTGACGTCTCAATTGAAAACCAATCACAGGGCTGGTAAATCATATTACATGGGTTAAAACGCAAAAAATAAGACATGGTTGTATTCACTGGAAAACACAGTACGTTATGTGATAAAATATAATTGGAGGTTCTTATATACCGCTTTATCAAAACCTAGTTCGTAGGTCGTCTCAAAGCGGTTCACAAATTATCTTCCGTGGTATAGGGCCTTTGCAACCAGCCAATACATTTCTCAACTCCCTGGGGAGCATACAGCTGGTGCTGCCATGTCGGCGCTAACAGCTAGCATTCAACAATTCTAGCACTGCCCAACCACGTACTCATTTACAGCTGAGTAGACTGGAACAAGCGGAGTAAACTATCTTGCTCAAAGATACAACACAATACCGTGCCGTGACGCGAACCCGCAACCCTTCGGTCACGAGTCCGGCGTCCTACCACTGGACTACCCGTGCCTCCTAAAATACTTTATACATAGTAAATTACAGTTGCAAAACCTATTTGACTTGCGGTGATTATAGGGTCGATATTGTTGACTTACGGATCTGAGCTTGTCCAGTGCAGTGGTGGCCACATACACCATGACCGCCCACTCCTGCCACTTCGGTTCCGGGTAGGTCCTCACCAGCACAACATAGGAGTAACAAATGAGGAACATGATGTACGTCATCTACAAAATAGACAAAAGGTAGATTTATATTGAAACAACATTTTTGAAATTCCTAAACGACATTTTTTATGGAAACATCTGTCGGTGTTTACCTTCAACAAGAAATACCGCATTCTCTGGTAAAAATGGCTACAAATGGCTGTAATGTTTTCATGCACCAGGCTGTCCTACCACTTTGGTCCCGGGAAGGTTTTCATTGACGTAATTTAGGTGTTACAGATGAGGAACAATACCTACATGTTTGCATCGGACTGTTGAATAGCTGAAAGTATGGAATAGTGCCAGGATATCACTGCGCTGGCTGTGCTGGCTGGTTTCATTTTCATGACACATTTTAAAATCTACTATAACTTGTACATAAAAGTAAGAGTGAATGTGTGTATTATATGTTGAATATTGAGGATGTCCATATATAAACTGCAATGAATAAATAATAATATCTCTCTCTCTCTCTCTCTCTCTCTCTCTCAATAATAGATAAATGTAGGAATTCAAACTATAAAAGCCATCTTATGATGTGTATATACAATTATTTATCTTATAAGGAAAGGGCGTTAATAATGTTCATGTAACTTGGGTCCAATCCTTTTGCTTTTTTATTGGCAATGAAATATGTTTAAACTAAACTAATCTACAAAAACACAGGACAACTTTAAATTAAAACAATATATGTTTAAATCAGACTTTAAAAATATTAAATACATATGAATATCCAATAAACGTACAAATTTTAGCAGTAGTCCTCTTTTATCGGTTTTTTTTTTCTTGGTTTTTTTTTTGCGCTTTTGCGTGAAATTATGAATGCGCCAATTGAACTTCTCTGGGCCCGTATTTATGAAACCGTTCTTGTGCTCCAGCATGGATTATGTGTTCAAGCTGATTTTCTTGCCGCTGGCTTAGAATAATGTTACATGGTCAAAAAGTCAAGTTTTAACATCGAAAATGGTATTCAACCAAGAGACTCTCCTAAATTCTTCCAGAACATTTAAAAAAATGATTTTTTTTCTCTCATAAATTTATCACTGAATAAGGAATTGAACTTAAACATAAAATCTGACTTTGAGCACGAGAACGGTTTCATGAATATGGGCCGCCTTGGTAAATTCTTTTCTATTGCATATATCGGGGAACGATTCATCGATGCGCTAGTCCGTTAACAGTAAAAGATGCGCTTGAATATGAATGCATTAAAATAAAAAGGTTTTAACCACAAGTATCGCATACTCAAGATGACTTCAAAGGGCTATATATTTTCAGTACACATAAAGTATTAATTTGAAGTTCTTAAATATCGTTTTATCACAACCTAAGTAGCCTCAAAGCGGTTCACACATTATTAGTCGTTTTTATTGGGCCTTTGCAACCAGCCAATATATATCTGAAATCCCCGTAGAGAATACAGCCGGTACTGCAATTTCGGCGCTCACGACTAGCATTCAACAATTCTAGCACTGCCCAACCACGTACTAATTAACAGCTGAGTAGACTGAAACAAGCAAAGTGAAGTATCTTGTTCAAGGATACAGCGCAGTGTCGTGCCGTGACTCGAACCCGCAACCCTTCGGTTACGAGCCCGGCCTCCTACCATTAGACCAACGTGACTCATATGAACCGATATAGCTTATTCCATATAACCACGTCGTGATCATTAGACAAAATCAATATCAGATCACGACACATTCGAGAAAACAAAGGCAGATGAAGCACTCCGTGACAACATTCATAGAATCGATTTTTAAAAAAGTATTCAGATATCAATTCTACTTCAACAAGCCATAACAAACGGACGACCTTCAACTTACAGCATACATCCAGAATTTTGTGATTGGAGCATTGTAAAATTCGTAGATTTTTTTGTCCAATCGCAGTTGATTTTCCTTCTTTTTGACAGGGAACTGGAAGCCGTTTGAATTGTCAGTCAAACCCGACACGTCTGTGGCAGCAGATTCGTTTGCTCCTAGAACGCGATGACCTATATGGAAACTAGGACTGTTGCTAAATCCTGGACTAGTAGGTATACTGGAGCTCGAAGGGGTCGCCTGGAAACTCGTTTCCGTGTTGTCCTCGGCATTGAAACCCTTTAACAAAATATTGAAAACGAGATTACATGTCATTTGATATACTTCTCCATTCAGGTGTCTCTTTTGAAGATGGTATAATTATAGCATGTCAATAATATGTCTGAATGAGTTATAGTAACGGATTATAAAGGTGCAAACAGGTGTGGGTGTCTTTATTCACCCCTAAAGACACATTTGAACTTTTCCAATTCAAAGGTTGGAATGGTTCATTATGAAATTTTAAGGGGTGAACGACGTGAATACCGTCAAGTCAAATCTGTTGTGCACCAGTTACTATATCGTGTTTAGTACTTACATAATCTTAAAATACCAAGATTGAAAGTATTTTTTTGACAGACGATGCTTTGAATTAACAAGTTACCATCAAATCTATCTTACGGTTTTAAAATAACGCGAAAGTGGGAATTTGACCTATGTTAGATCGAAGTTAAGACTTTGTAAACTGGTAACATTCTATTTCTACACATGGTTTTAACACATACAAACTATCTTTGCACACCATAATAACATTTTGTATACTTTAAACTGCCAATTACCTTAACTTACCAATCAAATGCCTTGCGGATATCAAAAAGACTCATCAATCAATTCGAAAATTCAAAATATCGCAAAAACAATTTTTTTGCAAGAAACATTAAAAAGTGATTGTTCGTGAAAATGATGATTAGGCTATTGAGAAATACTACCTCATTGATATTTCCCGTATTTAGGTCTTCACCGACGGACATATTCCTTTCGTGCAGGCCCTGAGCATGAAGCTCGTATAAATGTTCCTCAAGAGTCTGCGGCATCAACTTGAGTTCCTTCTTAGTCTTGTACTCAAGAAGTGGTATGCAGGGTGGGAACAGGATACCTAATATAACCTAAAATATAAACGTATCATTTGGTTTCGTGGAACATATACCATACATTATCATTTGTATCTTATGGGCCGAGTGGTTAAGGCGTCTGACATCCTGCTACCACTAGCCCTCCATCACTTGGTCGCAGGCTCGAGGCCTACTTGGGGCAGTCGCAAGGTACTGTCCGTAGGTCGGTGATTTATCTATGGGAACTCCTGCTTTCCTCAACCACAAACCTGGCACGTCCATAAATTGTTAATAGGACGTTAAACACACACAAAAAAACAACATTCGGATAAGTCGACTCTTCAAGATCAGACATGTATATAATGCTTAATAACAATAATAAGATTATTTCGAGGTTCTGAAATACCACTTTATGACAACCTAGTTCGTAGGTCGTCTCAACGCGGTCCATAAATTATTATCTGTTGTTTCAGGGCCTTTGCAACCAGTCAATATCTTTTGAGCAAGATACTTTACTCAGCTTGTTCCAGTCTACTCAGCTGTTAATGAGTACGTGGCTGGGCAGTGCTAGAATTGTAGAATGCTAGCTGTGAGTGCCGAAATGGCAGCACCGGCTGTGTGCTCCCCAGGAAGTTGAGAAAGAAATTAGCAGGCCGCAAAGGTCCAATAAGAACGGAATATAATATATGAACCGCTTTGAGACGAGCTACGACCTAGGTTGTGATAAAACGGTATATAAGAACATCGAACTATTATTATTATTATCATTAAATAAATAACAATAAAAGGGAATTTCAAAGATGGTCTTTTAACTCAAGTGGTCTCTTAATGGAGGTGGTCGCATGACCAGGTTTTAATGATATGCTAAAACATTTCCACTGGGAGTCTACCATTTTTTTGTACTTGTATGTGCGAAATATATATGGTACAGTATATTTGGTACACCAGGACACCATTTAATACAAGATCTATTACGAGGGCCCTCGTGCATATTAACACTGTGGTTCATTGTCGACAGTTTAGATACATACTTTTAGGCTGCTGTTTTTCCTTGTTCGGAGGCCACCCATCCACATGTCGTTTAGGAGAACCTGACAACACCTGTGGGCCACGAACTTACGATGATTGCCGGACACTGCCAACCCCATACATGTTTGGTTGCTGAAGTTCTTTAACTCGTATGTCAAAAGATGTTGTGTGCAAGCGTCATCCATCTTGGAGCAATGTTCCAAAAGTTCCAAGGATAATTTCATGAAACTCCTGAAATTGTACGTCAATGTTGAGCTTGCGTCTCAGTGTAGGAAGCACATTTCATCAAGAAAGTTGTAAGATTATTTTTTTTTCAGATCCCGTAATTTTCCTATATTTATACCTCTTTTACATTACATTGACTTGTTTTAATATGTTTGAATTGACATATTTTAACGAATTGCTTCTATCTCAGCATGTTTCGTTAGTTTCATAGAATGTTTTAAATTAATCACAGTCCATTTTCTTTAAATATCCGTCATTATTACCAAAAGCACAGAATGATATACTAGTACAACAGAGTCAAAGCTTAGTTACTCACTTTGCGTTTGACCTGAGGCCATCCGATATGTCCACCTCCGCATCGTAGCGGTCAGCTTCAGCAGCCATAGCCTTATTAAGCTTAACTGCAATTAGTGCCTGGAATGTTGTATGGAACAAAGTGTAATCAAACTCATCAATGAGGTTTTTCACACTCGCTAAAATATGCAATGCTGTATCAAGTTATTTATTTTAAGGGGTTCATATGTTAACAATCCCCCTTCACTAGCAACATCCCTGATTCCGAAACCTATGGTGCTTACATGTTTGCAGTTAGTCATTATTTCCGTGATAGATATCGGCCGCTGACGGACAAACGTACAACACTGAGTTCCACATGATGCACTTTGTGCAAGTTTTATGGTTGCTATCATGGCTTCATTGAAAAATGCAATTTTTATTTGTGTGATATCATGGTCGATTTTTTTTTTTTTTTTATCATACTCATTAGTACGTCTTGTTGTTACATTGATATTACCCCAGTTCTCGCTAAGGGAACGTGACATTACTACTTGGATTCTACCTAGAATTACATGGCGGTTGCTGTTGAGACGTTAACTACTCTCCTTGTTGCTTTAAACAATATAAAACTCTTTCATGCCCAGGGGTGTAGGATAGGGAAATTCCACCAAAGGGGTCTTCAAGTTTGGTAAACCCGAGGCTATGTCGAGGGTTTTGCCAAATTTGAAAACCCCAAGGGTGGAATTTCCTTATTCTATACCCCTGGGCATGAAAGAGTATTTTTTCTTATTCAAACTACCAGAATAAGCTCAGAAACCATGAAAATGAGTTTAAACTGGCTACCATTTTGAGAATATTTATCCCCCCCCCTGATCTTTTTAGATGAAAAAGAATCATACAGCCAGATTAAGCGTACCCCAAATGTGCAAAGTTTGCACAGAAAAAATAATCTCATCTTTCTAATGTGTACGGTAAATATATCGTAAAATGTTTTAATTTCATCACGTCGCCTTTTCCTCATTGCGACATTGGAATTCTTAACGTCACGTCATTGTTCAGCCATTATGACGTCACGTCACGTGAAATGGAGTGAAAGATAGAAATCCATTTCTTACCCGGCTGTATCTTACACACAAGGAAAAGAGAGAAATAAGGTATATTGTTTAACCCCTTTCTCATATATCTGTCCCCTATGGATACTTACCTTTGCCATGGCCTCATCGCCTTGTCGCCATATGTACATAGCCATATCGTGCCGCTTTAAGATTACTGCCCAGATCAGAAGGTCGTGGTATGGATGGGGGAACAGTTCCTGGGCTCCAGTTGTATCCATAATCATCGGCATCGTTGTCACCAGTCGTCCAATGTTACCGGCAACGCTCTGTAAGATTACCGTAATTCACCTACATGTGCTTACAAATATAGAAATATACAGCATGCCCAAAAGAATGACGTTGCACCCTACAGTTGTTTCGTTCTTCTAGAACTCATCGGCGATGCTAGGGGCGAAAACGGTGAGACTCATACTTGGTCTGGATTAATGTTTAAAACAGAAGGGTAAGTAAGTAAAATAACTAGATGACACGAATTTTCAAAATTAGATGACGAGTACTGGTTAATTTCGCAGTAAAGTGTGTATATTACGAACCGAGTCACTACTCATAGGAGATCTTTGTGGTCACCAAGTCTACTGCAAACTTCAGGGATTAAGAATTAAACCAGCAGAGACTACCACCTTGTTTGTATCTTGAAATGAAATTTTAAATTTCCAAAAAACTATCATTTTTGCTTCCAAGATGGCTTTATACAAAATGTATTTGTATCATAGACCCATTAGGTCCCATCAGTAAAATAGACTCAGACTAGTTTGACGCTTGTTCAAACAAGGGTGACGCATCAGTAACATTTATAAGCTTTAAACTCACAATTCATATTTTCCGCCAATATATATATTAACATTTGGCGTGGCAAAGCCCTTTTATATTGATACTAAAGTACCGCCAATTCCGTCTTTGCGTATTGCAGAGTTATCTTCTCTTGGGAGCAGGTATTGATTGTTACATCATTGGTTTGTGTGAGAAAAATTACGTCGTTTTCTCAAAAATTGATGACGTAACTCTCACAAACAAGTGACGTAACAATCAATACCTGTCCCAAGAGAAGATAACTCTGCAATACGCAAAGACGGAATAGCAGCTTCATGGTATGAGACTATAACTGAAGTTGGTATTTTACCATTCAGTTTGTCTGTGACACCTGTGGTAGTTGTGGCAGTAAGTCTGTCACATATATGCAGTTTATTGCTCAACTAACTTTCGATCGGGTTCTTGATTTATCTAGGGATTCAACCAAAAAAATCTTACATTGCGTTTGATAGCATGGTACTTCTGTTTAAATTGTTTGCGACAGTAACCAGACCGATAGGCTCCCTCCATTAGATGTTCAATTACACCACCGATATCCAGCATCGTGTACCGGTATCTAGATGAAACACTCTGAAAATAATATTTATAAACAATAAAAGCAAACTGGTAAATTTTATGGTGATATGTTTTTTCATATTATAACTTACCACAAGTCTCTAATAGGATAGAAGCATTTTCGTATTTTAATCAAGATGAAGAAATAAACTTTAGTAAAACAGAATTGGCTAAATATTTCTCGACGATTCTAGGGTAAATATAATTTGGTCTCGTCATAATTTAGCCAAATGAATGCAAAGGGAAAAATAATTCGGTATTTCAACGTCACTGTGCACTTCTGAAATAGTATAGACATGTATGGCTATGATTGTGCATTTTCTCTCCGAGTTATTTAACCGTTACTTAATTGAATTTGAATAAACACTTATGAATGTTAAAGTAACAAACCATACTTTTGGTGTGTAAATTATTTCCCTTTTTAAATTATCAGTTATCAGATACGATGTCATATTATTAGACCTTAACGTAAAGAAACTAATACATTTGCATTCAATAATATTGTATAAATCATTTATTTATCAAAATTATCTTGCTTCAATGCAAAAAATATATTAAAAACTTGTTTCGTCTTATTGATTTTGGTAAAGGCAGGAAGACCATTGAGTACTTTTAGAAACCAAGCTTATATCAATTTAGGTCGATTACCTAATCGCCCTTGTGTGCAAACTGTATTCGGTACACCTGTAAGTAAACGCCAGATGTTTAGAGTAAGAATTGAGATAATTATATTCTGTATACCTGTGATTTAACCTCAGGTGTTAAAAGTGAAGAACTGAGATTAATATAATCGGTACATTTTTAGTTGTACGCGAGTTGCAAAGAATAAGAATTCAGATTACTACATTCTATACATCTGTAGAAGCACGCGAGTTTAAAGAGTAAGATTTGAGATAACTTTATTCTGTGCACCTGTAATTAAGTTTTGAGATTACTTTTATCCCCCGCTTTCACCGAAACGGGGGATATTAATTTGGGTTTGTCCGTCTGTCAATCTGTCTGTGTGTCTGTCTGTCACGCTTCGTTTCCGTGCAACTGCAACAAATGTTAACCGATTTTCTTCAAACTTAGCAACTGGGTTAAATGCCTTAAGGGCTCAGCCAAGTTTGATGACCACTTTTAGCGGACTTTATTTGGCGGAGTTATGGCCCCTTGAATAACGAAAAACGTCATTACCTGCCGTTTCCGTGCAATAACTGCGACAAATATTAACCGATTTTCTTCAAACTTAGTAACAGGGTTCAACGCATTAAGGGCTCGACCAAGTTTGACGACCATTTTAATCGGACTCTATTTGGCGGAGAAATGGTCCCTTGTTTAACGAAAAACGTCATTTTCTGAAGTTTCCGCTTAGGAACTCTAGCGAATATTAGCCAAATTCCTTCAAACTTGATAACAAGGTTTATGTTCCTCTGTCTTTTCACCCATCTGGGGCACTATGGTTTTCGTGTGATACTTGCTGTAGATATTATGCCCACCCGACTCATGCTAACTTTGCCAATCGATGTGATTTGTGCATATTTACGGATAATTAATAAGGTATAAGGTTGTTTTTTTCTTCGAGTTTCAAGCTTTACATTATTGTCTCAACAGCACAATACTCACATGTTTAAACCTAACCTAATAATGTTTACCTACAATATGTCCTGCAAGCGGGGGATATAAATTCCACGAACTTGCTTGTTTCTGTACATCTGTATTTATGTTTTGAGATAACTTTAATCTGTACACATGTAATTAAGTTTTGAGATAACTTTATTCAGTACACATGTAACTAAGATTTGAGATAACTTTAATCTGTACACATGTAATTAAGATTTTAGATAACTGTATTCTATACACCTGTAATTACGTTTTGAGATAGGTTTATTCAGTACACCTGTAATTGCATATGTGCTAAATTGGACACAGTGCTTCTATTTGTCATTTCACTGTTCGCTGTTATAAATTTCTCATATTACCTTAAGGCTATGCTACATGACGATTTTTTTAAAATTTTAACGCCAGAATTGACGGTTTTAAATGACAGGACTTTCCGTGTAGTCTAGAACAGTTTATTTGCCTAATGGGTTTGACAAACCAAAAGACCGCAAACACAATACGATGCAATAATAAACTGACGTCTTACGTCATTTCCCGTTTCTTTGAGTTGATGGTTTGTCTTCTTGTTAACTTTAAACGTATTTTGATTAAAAACATTACATAACAAATATACATCTCTCAAAGCGACTTCGAGGAAAGTTGAATAGATATATTAATCACGTCTGCTCTTTGAGCCAAAAATAAATATTTTCATTGAGCTGTTGTCTTCTATATGATCTACAGCAATGTCTACTATTTCGGTAAGTTGCCTGATATTTGTATTTAAGAACTCGCGCATGTAAAATGTAATTGAATAAACAGTATGATGAGCATTAATTTATAATAAATGCAAAAAGTATAGAGGAACGTAATCAAAAGGTGCATATGCGCAAGATTGATGACTTCTTTTTGTCTGATGACATATACGAGATAGGTCCTTCACGGAAGCATGTTCTTGATGCTAGCTCAAAGGTACATTAACAATTAAAAGTACGAAGTATGGAAGCCCAATTTAATCATTTAGATTGTTGATGCATAAAGCTAAACAAAACAATCATAATACATTACATTTGAATCACATCTTGTGGCGTCATACCCGTAGCTAAATGGAAGTTTGGGATAGTTTATCGTATAGCTACATACTTTGTAGGTAGATGTGTTATCTATATTCAGATATTGCACCGGCCAATAACTAGACCAGTATACGTAATATTCATAAGCCTTAGGAAATTTAGTCCAAAAAAGCTGAATAATTATGTCTTTCTTTGACTTGTGTCTGTTCTCCCGTTGATCTCTATTCATTTCCCAGATCAGCATATTGTATATTGCAACAATAACATATTGATAAATCTTCTTCAGGAATGGTTCTTCCATAACTAAAATAGTATTTCAGAAACCCGACAATTGTCTACTATATGCAAAGGTGTGAATTAAAATTTAGATATCTTATAATAAAAGAAATACAACTTATTAATTATGACTGATTTCTTTACTAAGTGAGTTTATTGTCAAATACAACAGTAAAATATCAATCAATCGTTAGATATTCTCAACATAAACACTAGTGCCATATCAATATTACTATTTATTGAAAATCTTAAAAGTTGACAACAGTCTTAGTTGTTAATGATAGTAGATACTTTGGATGGACGAGTATACTAAAAGCCTTTTATATGCCCTTGAATTTTGCAAATTTCAATTACCGCTGTATGTTACAAAATGTGTTTTTTTTTTATATAGAAAATACAAGATGAAATCTTTTATTGGTAGCGAATTATTTTAGTGATTTTGAAAACTAAATGGCTTTTTTTTTAAACCCATCCTAACGTTTGCTCTGCTGCATATTGCCATACAAAGAAAAATATAAGTTTCCCTCTCAGTGTATATAAGATACCGGAGGGTATATATTGTGCGAGGGAATCATGCAAATGAGGAGACATCTATTCCTTTACAGGCACATTGTAGATAACAGTATTATACAGTGATCCACAACAGTACCACTACCCTATTTTAATAATATCAAGATCAATATTAATAAGTATTTGATGTCTTTGTTGTCGAAAGATATTTACCTTTTTCTTTGTATCTTGTACCAGATGTCTGAGGGTGTTAGTTGGTCCAAGGCGCTGTAAGTAAACGTCATACTTATGTTTATTACCATGTGCACGTCTGAATTCAAGTCTATCTGGTTTCTTTAAATGAGTTCTAGAAATATGGAGTAGGAACTACTTATTTAAAAATGATGTTTTTCTATGTAAAAACCCAAACAAAATTAACATTTTACTGCACTATGTTTAGCCATGGCCATTTCATCTATTTAAGTATTGGCAATCGAGGTTAAAAGTGTGAAAAATAATTTTGAACTTTTTAAACAACTACAGAAACTAGAGCAAATGGGGTATGCACACCAAATGCCTTTTTACCTATCAATTTTACAGCCTCTTGCTACTTCAGATTTTTTTTTTAAAACTTGTGTTTAAATGTTATAATGTTATATTTTTTTTTATTAAAATTGTGACATGATAAAAATCAGTTTGTCTTTTAATTAAATGCATAATAATAACAGTTCAGTGCAGATCCGTACCTATTATTTCTTTTTTAACAGGCATCAAACATTACTTCCAGCATTTCCGATGAGATTTGTTTATTATGAACAGGCATCTTCTATACATTTTTTATTTGTGTTTATTTTTACTTTTAATTATTAATTGTGAGGTTAGCCTTGTCTAAAAATGTTTCGCTTTCTGGATTTGTGTACAAACGCTATAGATAGTATGAATGACTATATAGATTACCGATAATTCCATATAATTTGAATATTACTTTGCTGCAAAATGAGATCTAATAATTGAACTGGTTAATCAATTGCCTGTGGGTTTCTGTTGTGGTATCTTACAATTTCAACCGAGAACGGATGAATATCTTGAGCAAAATCATGAATTCTTGATATGAGTTATCGAAAAAAAAACTCATATTACCTTTCTGATTTTGATATTCCCTACACATTAAAAATGAACTCATTAGACCTCATAAGGTATATGTAACTAATAATATATATGATCACTCTGTTTAAATACTCACCGTTCGGAATAATTATCTTGTGAACCGAGAGATGTGCTTCATGTAACGATTAAAGATAGGCTTCAATGTACTTGTACGCTTTGAAGTATAAATATCTGTTTTTCCAATAGCTTAAAATCGAGTCATGACCAATGAGGTTCTATTACATTAAGTTAAGTAAGTTTAGTCTATGGTTTAACATTAAGCTAATTGCAACATACTATAGTTTTCATTTTTCACAAGGGTGGTTTTCTATTTCATAATAGAAACAAATCAACTAAAATCAGTAAAGAGGGAAATATCTTTTATCCTCTTTGGGCAATTTGTTCTGGTAACATGTCTGGACTATGATATTAAACGTATTTAATATGATATCAACCGACTATTATATTAAACGTATTTAATATGATATTAACCGTGTTGTATAGCTCCTCCAGTCGTGCTATTGTCAGGAAAGTTTGCATCGTAAAGCCGTTTTCTATGAGAACCTTTACCGCATCAACACGGTCATTCAGCAGTGCGTCCATCATCGATTGCTCCAGAGTCCCTTCCTACAATAAATAAATAAATAAATAATGACCATATGGACGGATTGGTCGAGAGGTTAACACTCCGGCCTTCCAAGCAGGCGGCCGGAGTTGGATCCCCGAAGTCGCCGTACGCATGGAATATTCAGAGAAAGTGTTTTTCTCCTGCCCACACAACTCCAACAATCCAGGTGGAGTATAAAATGGTCTGGGGTGGGTGTTGCGGTATCTGTGCTGTAGATATCAAGTGAGGTGTCACTATAAAATATACCGTTGGAAGCACGGTCCCACTACAAACAGAACACAATACATCTCCAGCACACACACAGGCATGCACACATAGGGGGATATTAGCCAGGTGGCATAGGACTAGTAGTTAGCGCCTGATAAGGCAGCTCCTGCGAATTCCTCAATATTGTATTGATTAATATATATGCTAATTGTATTGACTGATAAAATTGTATATCTACGTACTGTAAAAATTATGTTAGCTCGATAGGGCGCTATATTAAATGTTGTATATTTGTTTATTTGTTTATAAATAAACAGGGAAACAAACTGAGAATGTTAAATAACAATGTGCAACTGACTGATATTGTAAATCTGATTTTACATACATGTACTTTTTTTCAAGAATATATGCCAATTATTAGCAACACTCCATGTTTCACTATCTGTATTCCTTCTACTCATATGCAACCTATTCATAGAGGCGATGATAAAGTGACAAAACTTAAGTCTAAATAAATAATAATATAACAAATACTAAAGACTGACCATGATGACTTGCTTCATTTATTATGAATGATGTTTGTTAGTAACCGTTAGTTATATATATTAAAAAAAAGAAACATTGCATTTTGTTAAACATTTAAACATTTACCATAGATCGATTATCTTGAACAATCTACATTCGTTCCAAACTGAAGAAATGACGGGATAACCTGATAACTAAGATAAAATCATGTACCATTATACAATTATGGACTTTTGTGCTGGTGAATATGATGTGATATGAGCCTGAAAGAGTGATATTGACTGAGGCGAAGCCGAGGTCAATATCCCTCTTTCAGGTTCATATCACATCATATTTACCAGCACAAAAGCCCATAACTGTTTCATTATATGCTTCAACAATAAAATAAAACCAAACAAAACCAAAGGTTCTGATTTTTGTACTCGAGCCTCCGTGTAAAATTTAGCCAGGTTTGAATACAACAGTTCAGCATTGTAGCTTTCGAAGGCATCGTCTAGATTCTTTTTCTTAAGGTAAGCATGGAGAAAATGCACTGCGTGTTCAATAGTCTTTTTTTTTTACGTTAACAGCATCTTTATCCTCGAATAATTTTGGCAATTTCCCTAACGGAGGAGAAACGTTCGCCAGCAGTCATCTTCTAATATCGTCTGACAGATCGCGTTCCAGTCTAACTGCGCATGCCCTACGACAGGTTCCGTGGAATTTTCATACAGCCTATATTTAGAAATCGATATTCACCGGATAACCAGTCTACATGAGTTTTGAGGACTGGTCACGTGTATAGGATTCGACCAATGTGATTGCGAGAAATGTTCATGCATATACTAAATGTTGTTGTGTCATGTCATAAAAAAAATGAAAATGGTTAAAAAAAAAAAATGAATATATATATTTTCTGATATTTTGTTTTCGACAGTGTCTTCCTAAAGACCAATCTTCATATAACCCTGGCTGTTGCGAGGACGTTAAACACAAAACAAACAAACACTCGTTCTGTTGTACCTTAATTATCTCCAAGTATCAGCTTAACGAGTATTAGTATAGGTAAGACGAAATAAGAGAAAAGTCATGTTTGGCCCATACTTTGTCTATTTTGGCACTGAGCCATTATATATATATTTATATAAATGCAATTCTAAATCTCTATGACACACAAATATATTTTAAAAACTTTTCTTACCTTTTTCATAGTAGTAAAATCATCCTCCCCGATGCTGAAGCGACATCGGAGGGATGCCGAACTCCTCGCTGACCATATTGAAGCTTTGCTCTCATTGCCTACAACACAGATGGGTAAGTATATATCTCACGTTTACTAATATAGGTATATTTTCCTAGTGATATATTGATTTAATCTACAATTTGAAACAGGGTGTTAAGATTTAATAGAAAGAAAGAGAAAAGCCAATTTTAAATGAAAAAAAGAGATGTTTTTTGAACACCGTCCCTCATCTTCAAACTTCATATTGATAGTTTTGTGACCATCGAAGAGCAGATATGCTGATACATATCATCTGAATGTTTTACGTTGACTTGACAGATTGTCATCCCGCTCGAGGAAACAGTGATTCAATAAGAAATAGTTATTCAATAGGAAAGCGTAATTAAATAAGTAAAATTTACATTTGTGTTGCAGTGCAAATAGATAACAGTACCAACTGAAATGTTTGCATGATTCAATAAAAGTGTGTAGTAATATTAACAGTACTACATGTACCGTTGCATGACCTCTGACCCCCAACACAAACAAACCAAAACAAAACGAGATCGTTTATCAACGTTTAAAAAACATGTAAATATATATATATATATATATATATTTATTTATATTATCAACAAGAAATCACCCTGAAATTTAAGTCCGCGCATTCAGCTTCTAAAATACGTCGTGTGCTAACTCCAGCCACAGACATTTGTAACGAACCCCTGTGCTCCAGCCAATATGTCTGGCAGCGACGTCGCGGACGTGTTCCTAGAATGTTTATGGCGGGCCACCGAAGCGTGTCTGCTATAAGATCCGTTAACAAGTCTTTTTCAACAGAACAGAATAATTCACTGTCCTCTAGAATCTACACTAGTGCCCGTTGCAAGTGGCGAACAGGTGAAATCGTCCCGGCTCGTCGGCCAGTCCCCTCATCGATAGTAATACATGCCGAATGCTCAAACGATGAGCTAGTCCTGTTGACACAGTCGATCGACACAAGAATTCGACTAAAATATTTTACATGGTATTTTTGTTTTAAATTTAGATCTACTGTCAATTTTAAAGATACTCAATGCTTGTTAAACATGCTGGTAATGTAAATTGAATTATTAAAAAATATGCAAAGTGGAACTATTTGTTTATTGCTCAACTGTGTATTTCGTCACCGTTGACAACGCATCATCTTTCCCGCGAAAAAGGCTGTTCATTTAATGTTGTTTTCATGACGGTGTTTGTTTTTTAACGTGAAAAAAGACTATTTTTTTTCTTAATTTCAAATAATAAAAGTAGATGTAATAGAATGTAAATATAAAGTTTTAAGTTCATCTTTTTAACATCAATGAGGGTATGCAACACAGTTCTGTTCAAACATATTCCCCAACGCGCATCATGGAATATGTTTGAACGGAACTGTGTTGCATACCCTCATAAATGTTAAAAAGATGCATTTCAAACCTGAAATAGTAATTTAATAAGATACAGTAATTCAATAAGAAATAACAATTCAATAAGAAATATAAATTAATTGAGAAATAGTAATTCATAACAAATAATAATTCCATGAGAACTTTTTCTGTATTCCACCCGAATACACAAGGTCCTGTATGTGCAAAATGAAAACAACAACATCACTCTCTCTCGAAAAGTTACTTTGTAAAAATATTCAACCTTATCTTCAGTTCAGTAATAACCGATTGTGAACAGGTTTATACAGCACAACCGGTGAAAGGTTTATGTGTTACATCACATATAAAACATCTCACTGGTTGTGCTATATGACCCTCTATACAATTGCTGCAACAGCTAGGATAAAAGTAAAGGAATTACATACTATATCATTTATACGACATCAACGTGTCTCAAAGACGAAAACCTGAATATTACAGATATAAACAATGAAGTCGTTTTCTCATTGTTTACAGACAATCCACAAGCAAACGAATGCGCGTTTTATTACGGAATATGCCGCAAAAAAATGAGAAAATATCTTACTAGTTAATTTCAGATTGTAAACCCAAATTGCATATATTGGATATAATTCATATAGATTTATTCTTAAAAAATGTTTGCATTCTTGGCTCGTTTGGATAAAAGAAGTAAAACATTATTCCTATTTTATCCTGTAGCCGCAGATATAAAAGTTTAACAATTGAAATGAATTGTAATAGTAGAACGTAACTGTTATCAAATGTATATGGTTAAAATTCACGGACGAGGGCCGCGACCAATCGGAGTAAATATAAATGTGCAATTTCCTCAGATATAAGATTATAGCTTTGTTAGTGCCTCTCTCAATATAAATCTGTCTCCTTGGACATATACGACCGTCAACGCAAACGTGCGCGTCCCACTCAAAATGATTGATCGCATTATACGCGTGGGAACCGATAATTACTGCGAAACCAGCAAATAGTGTTATATTAATTGTAGACTCTTGTTATTATCATATGTACGTAGGTATATCTCAACAGATATAACTAAAAATAATTAATGATCAAATTCGAAATTATCATAACGTTGCGGGTAGTCAAAATAATAATTTGCTGTGGAACATTTTTCGAATGACAATTTCTAAAAGGAAATATCGACGCTACTGAATACTCAAAGTATCACTCAATAATAATTTACAGCACAAATTATCAAAACAATGAACGCATAAACTCCATCTCGAATGTTACCGAAAGAAAACCGTCCACACAACACTCGTATATCCTCTTGTATCGTCCTCGAAATATACGACATTCGTAAATCCTATTGTATCTTCCTCGAAATATACGACATACGTAAATCCTATTGTATCTTCCTCGAAATATACGACATACGTAAATCCTATTGTATCTTCCTCGAAATATAATCCATGCTTGAGGTTTAGCAATAACAACACAAAATTAGTCTTACTTTCAACCTTGGAATGCATTTTGTTGTTTATCTTTTAACTGTCAACAATCACGGATGAGATGGCCCGGATGTTAATTATTGTAACATGTACTGTTCATTGTTTACAAACGCTAACAGGAAGTTGTTCACCACAGCTGTAGCGTTGGAATGACAATCTTATCTCTCCGTTGATTTAATTATACGTAACTGATTTACATAATGCAATGTGCATAATTTATTTACACGCGCGTCATAGCTTAAATCATTACTTGTAATTTATTCTAAAAAAACGTTTATTCTTGACATCACGGACCAAGCATCAAGTAATAGGAATATATTTCGAAACAATTTATACACGTATATCATACATTTTTTCATTACATTTTTATTTTAAATTGTGATAACAGAATGAACAGAAAAAAATGAATTTATGAAGTGAAATATATACATTCAACATCATCAGTGATCTGAAACTAGAACTTGGTACTTCATGTGTTAAATAAGTAATACTGGAACGGCGTTACTGTTTAGCCCATATTGTCTCAAAAGCATCAAGGTACTAAGGTACCGATTTATAGACATGATCTCTAAAATATTCCGAATTTACTTAAGCATTTCTATCAATCTAGTATTAGAGCTGAATAGTTATACTTCCCGTTTTCCTGTTTATTTTTTATATATATACCTAGCTTTTGTGACATCATCATTGTGGCCTCCAGCTCACAGAGATGATATTTCATTGTACTAACCAAAACATCCATTTCTGATGCACTAAATACCGTATTTTCTGTGTTAAATTAGTTTTATAGAAATAGTTTGAATACCATCAGTGTATATATTATCTAAACTATGATCGTGGAAATCTTGTCTGACGTATTTCCTTATACTTTTCATTCATAATATGGGTATGGTTAAACCGCAAACATCTGTTCTTAATATCATTATAGTATAATGTCGTCATAAAGCTAACCTATTATTTAAATTGTAAATAGAGTCAATGACTCCTGTCAGTCATTCATTCCAGCTTGTCTATAAAACGAACAATAGACAATCATTTGTTCCTCTCTGATGGGAAACCTAGCTCAATATGTCAACCAATTTGAATTTGATTAAATGTTACTTCCTGTATACAACTCAGTGAAACATTAATGAAATAATAGGCAATTATTTAATGTTATAATGTAAACCACGTACAGAGAAAAAACATACAATGAAAAATAAATCATGTGAATATATAAAAACAAGACAGTAAACAAAGTAGAAATTATAACATACGTACGTTTCATAGGTATATATCCACGAGATCCTTTCAGTTAGAGATATGTTGCTCACAGGAAACGTCGACGGGGTCAGAGTGTCAGTAGGTGCAGAACACGTAAACCTGTTTTGTACAAATTTCCAAAAGGACAGATCCAAGGTACAAATACACCCTTTCCTGTAGGACAGTTGGGTACTGGGTAATTCTGTGAATATTATGTCGATACAACTTCAAGGCCCATCATGTATATAATAGCAAATGTGACGTAAGTGACACAGAAAACCTCTATTTTCGCTTAACTTCACGTGCGAATCTTATTTCTCACACACAGCTTGATGAATATTTTCCTGTACAAAGTTGTTTTTTCAAATGTTGCCTTAAAATCACAAAAAATGAAAACAAGTAACAAATAAATTTGAAACGATTCCTTACTATGTCTATTGTGATTAATAAATCAATTCTCTCGTCAGAACTCTTCCTGAGTCTGTGTTTAATCCATATATTAGAATAACACCTCAATCAAGCATGATGGTACATTCATAACCATTCAACATAAAAAGAAATGATTAAAAATGGAACGTTGTTATATCCAGTATCATCTATTGCTACGAGACCGCATATAAGAACCGCGTTATGTGTATCGAAGCTACTGAATCAAAAATCGTTAATAATGTATATTAATCACCATGATCAATGAGGTTCATTTGAAATATGTGATACTCGATTGCAAACTATTGCAGCACCAACATATGTATATACCGTGGCAGTGTAGATGTACTATACTATTGAAACATGAGTATTCTGTATTGTGCTTTATGTGCAAAAGGCATAGTGATAAAACTGTTTGATATTGTTCAACGTTTGTCCAGTGTAGTTGTCTATTCCCCTCGGGGCACTGTCCCTAACGAGAGTTGATGTGTGTTGGCACGTACGCCCGGAGGTGGTTCCACAAATAACCTTCACACAGATGACATAACCGTCTGGTCCTTGCGATTACCTCCATGTTCCTGTCTCAGGTACACGGTATAACATCATAACTATTATTGTATTCAAAGAAATTATATTAATCACAATGTAATGATACGTGGGGCGAGAACATGGTGGAAAATACACACGTGTAGTTTGACGTCATACAGCTGTACCAAAATAAAATGTCGCATAATAGATAACGACTTTTTATCAAACGTTTAGAAGTTATTTAATGAGTATATTTGAGTATAAATTATATCTTGTTAAATGTAACTTAGCTTAGTATGATAAACGAGATTAACCTTTATGAACTCGGCGCAAGTTCATAGGGTTGATATCTCATTTGCAGTGTTTCGTCTTGGTTTGAACCTTATCCATGAAAGGGGACCTGATGATGACATGAAGGGTTTCAGGATAAAGAAAGAAAGTGACAAAGTTAGTGGAGTGAATGTTGTTTTCGTGTCGAAATCCTGATTGGAAATGTAGCTCAGCTATGTTATACTTATTGAATATAACAATCATACGATTTCCTCAAGTGTATACTACTTAAAATTTCAGGTTACCTGAAGTCGCAATTTTACCGTATAAATGTCATATGATATAACATAATTTAATAATGTATAGTTTCCGTTTCAAAATCATAGCTATTGGTTGAGGAATATGAATAATGCAGCTTTAAAATTAGAAATTAACTTAATAATGTATAGTTTCCGTTTCAAAATCATAGCTATTGTTGAGGAATATGAATAATGCAGCTTTAAAATTAGAAATTACGGTTGTGCGTTATTAGGAGCGGCACTTTATGCAGATAAATTGCTTATTATTCAGATGTGAGAATATATTATATTGTTTTTTTTACTTTGCCTGTAATATATAATGGTTCGGATCGAGAGAAAGAGTACTAATAGATTCTAGGTAAGTGATTCCATAGCTCTCTAATGGGAATTTGTTTCGTATTGTAATTGATAGATATACATTTTATTTACTCAAGCAATCTTTTTGGGATACTAAAGCAATCATTAAGAATATCCCATTGCACTATCTCTTGGATAGAAGGGTTTGACTTTTATTTGGTTACAAAATAAATATATTTAGTTTTATCCTTGCGTGTAACAAACCTTGAAAT